ATGGACAACGATTATGTGGATAGAAGTTCTTATAACTATGTCAGGGTCTTTTGGCAAGCATTCAGATATTGTCAGCACTTAAGCGCTTTATAGTTATAAGTACATCAGTCTGCCCTATTTAAATATATCTTAAATATATAAATATTGCCAACAAAATAAGAATATAACAATATGCCCTCTACTTCGTGAACCTGATTGTTTATATTATAGAGTATTGTATTGTATTTCCCAAATGAAACAATTCCATTTGCTACAAAAACATCTTTCTTATTGTTTATTTTATATTCAAAAGTCCAATATTTTTCATTCTGGCAATTTACAATTGAGGCCTTAAGCTGATTGACTTCTTAACTAGATCAGTTTACAAAATTCTTGGCGCTTTTATTATTTTGTGATTTGGCATACATGATCTCTCTTTGACTGTAATGAAAATTCAAATAAATATTGTTTTAAATTTGCGTTAAATATTTTATGAGCCTAATTAGAAATTCGTGCTTAGAGCAGCTCGATTAAATACCAATTTGTAGCCTTGAGGCAATTACTCGACAATGTGCTTTGCACATATTTAAATTACATTTACTTTAAGTTACATTTTTGTATTTTGTTATTTTATACAACTCAGAATCTAGCTTAAATTAAACTATCCTACAATCCTACAATGTAAATAAATAAACTATTTTTATACCCTGAACCCATTAAAAATGGGTATAAGGGTATATTGTATTTGTGCAAAATCCAAATGTATGTAACAGGCAGAAGGAAGCATCTCCGAACCCATAAAGTATATATATTCTTGATCAGCATCAAAAGCCGAGTCGATCTAGCCATGTCCGTCTGTCTGACTGTCTGTCTGTTCGTCCGTCCGTCCGTTCGTCCGTATGTATGAACGCAAGGATCTCAGAACCTAAAAGAGCTAGAGACTGAAATTTTAGATGTAGATGCTCCTAGTTCCCGCGCAGATATAGGTTGTTTCCGATAATCGATAACTTGCTCCGTCTCCAAGCAATCTATAAGAATCGATATCGATATCCTGTTTTTTGGGCAATTTTGGTAAATAATAAGAGCTAGAGTCACCAAACTTGACATATACATAGCTTCTAAAATATATATATATATGCATTTGATGTTGGAAGAAGAGGGTTCAGGGTATCCCCTAGTCGGGAGCTCCCGACTAGAACCTCTTACTTGTTTTATTTAGTTTTTGGTACATCTTATTTGTATCTGCAATCTGTCTTGTTGGGGCAACGAGCAAATGTGTTAATGCTGAAAATGGAATGAATTATCTCATAACTATGTCTAAGAATTAAACTGAACTCGGGTGTAAGGAACTACAATGATATGCATAGATACTTATTATAATATACGTTTTGTTGATACTTTTCCTTGGCAGCTGCCTAACCTAGTTGCACATCAAGGAGTTAAACAAACTCAGTTTTAATGCATTAGTTTAATTGAGTTTAATGTAACTACTTTTTTAGGCCCAGCAGCTTTCGATTAAAGTTGTTCATAACTCTGTAGTCGAGTGTGCTTGACTACCCAATACCCTGTGCGCCTCAGTCAATATAATATTTTGGTTCTTACAAAATGTGAAATAGTCCGAAATTGTTAAACTAAATTGAATAGTATTCGAGCAGCTTTTGAGTTGTGCATTAACAACCAAGTTTCATAATCGATTTGTATCGATAGTTTGGAAATTTCAAGAGATATCGACCAAAATGATAAACTCGTTTTGGATATGGTACGGGACAGTTTATATGCATCTCTTAAGTTTTTATATATTTCCATATGCTCGTGTTCGTATAGATAACACAGACAGACGGACTTGGCTAAAATGGCCCAGCTCGTCGTCCTGTTTAAGAACATATACACGTAACGGGATTGAAGAGGACTCCATCCTTTGTGCAAAACCAATAGACCCTTAAACATTTTCAATAGGTACAGGGTATAGCAGGTTAAATAAACCAAAACCAAAACTGAGCAAGTATGTCAAGTGTCTTCCAGTACAACTTAATTTGTTAAATACTTTTTGGGCTAGGGTTCCATGCGAGAACCACTTGTGAATTATAAGCAACAAAAAGGTGATTAAGCTGAAGCAAATGCGGCACAATAAAAGGGCCTTTTTGTTATTAATGATAAAGTCTGAAAGGTTTTCATATTTGTAAGTGTTGTGTCCTAAGTTTTATTGTGTTAGATCTAGTTAGATCCAAGTGCCTGATTGGGCAGTTCGACAGGTTGAATCCTGTGAGCTCTTCGTCGCTTTCCCCTACCTTCTTTGCGGGTTATCAGGGTGAGCTGCGAGAGGGGCCACATAGCTGGTGTGGCCTGCAAAAAACCTTACTAAATTCAGTTTTTATAATAAGATTTTTACATTGCCATGGCATAAATCAGTCTCTCTCTCTCCCTCTCTCGCGCGCGCTGGGTAATCGGCTGACTTGTAGTCCAGGCCATATGCAATTAACGTCCTTTATTTAGAAATAGTAGGTACTTCTCCAGAAACACCTCCTGAATGGGAATTGAGTGCTGCATATGCAGGCGTATGTCCGCCTGGCTATGAAATTGCCTTGTGAAAGCCACATTAATGCAGCCCGCACATTGGAACAACGGAGCCGCAGGAAGCAACCACCCCAGACAGAATGTGGCCTGCTGCATGCTGCATGCTGCATTCAGTATTCAGCTCGTTGTAGATGCCATCCCACCCCACCCACTCCCAACGACCCTTCTCGTATTACTCAGATGTGAGTTACGTTCGTGCCTGAATGGTTTGAGTGGCATTTGGCTTTGGGCTGCCACGAATTTGACTTTGTGTGACGCATAAGATGAGTAGCTAGCGAGCCTGGCTAGGCATTTCGTGTCAAGGACTTGGACTCCATCATTTTCGTTTTTTTTTTTGTGTTTTTTGTTGTTGTTTATAATTTTAATTAGGTTGCAACACGTTTGTACGTGCTAAAATTCACATATACATTACCATTTAGAGAAAGGAAAAGCAGTGCTGTGGCAGCAGCGCCTAATTACCTCTACCTTTAAGGTAGAAGCTTAATCTCTAACCCCAAACTCATGCTCTCACATCCACATAAATCACGCACACACACACAGCGAGTGAGGAGGGGCATGGGGGAGAGTTCTTCTTAAACCCATAGTCGTCACAGTGAGCAATTTGTCAAATGTTGGATACCCCACCCATCACATCCTTTTGCGTGTGCCGTGATTAACATAAAGCCCAACCACAGCGGTGGCTACCAATGCCAATGCGGGGCAAATGCAAAGTTTGTTAATAATGTCTCTCCGCATCGGGCATCAATCTGTACACCTGCCCTGTCCGGGCTGTCCGGGCTGTCCGTGCTGTCTGGGCTGTCCGGGCTGTCCGTTTTCGACTTCTGATATCCTGTGTTATTGCAAAATGTGCTACCGTTGAAGATGACATATGATTTGACTTGTGGCCGAAAGATAAAACTGTCTGAAAACAAATATATTTCCGCTTAGACGTACGATTTGTGTGTCATAGCTGAGGAGCTTGCCAGCAAGGTGAACGCAATCCCTTTGCTCTCTTTAGTCAAGATTCTGGTTAGCTTCGCTTATTATGAGGCACAACGTTCCGACAGTTGAATTCCTTCTGGCCAGGCGTATTCTTTGCGCCTGTAATTTGTACGCACATGCAGGGAAGCGTATTCCCTGCTCTCCGCCCATCCCCACCCCCACCCAGACACGCTCAAACGAGCTACTTATGCAAATAAACATAGGCTCTGCGAGTGGGCGTTGCCTTTGTGGGCGGGTTTAAGTCGTGTGGCCGCTGACAAACTGCGGCTGGGCCCCTTGACTTTGCCATGCCCGCTGTGGAGCATATGGAAATACGATATTGTTAATTAATTTACGCTTTTATTGGTATTCTTACCTTCCGGTGAGCACTTTTTGCTGAACGGGCACCAGCACATGCATATGCTGCCCATGTCAAAGCGAGCTTATGTCAAGGGTCATGTGTAAAAAATAAGTAAATCAAATGCTCGTTAACACCTCGACGCCAAATAGCACGGGTTGACTTTAGATAAAAGGGCTCAGCTATCATTGTGTTCAAAATGTATCTTATATTTGTTTTGTTTCTCTTCTTTGATTTTATTAGTTTTATATATGCGTTGTGGAGCTTTCGAGTGTGACTAATAGTTAAAATCAAGTGAGATATAATTATTAAATATTTATTTATTTCTAAATATGCTTTTTAGCTCTCAATGCAGAAAACATCCACAGAGCGTTTTAGTATTGCATAAAAGTGAAAATATAATTACTTTAACTCTTTAAACACATTTTATAAATATTTTTCTCAACAAAGAACACACGAACAGTCGTTTTAATTATTTCAATGATTTTCCCATTTTTTTAAATTCAAATTCAAATTAGGCCAGAGTTGCCATGTAGGTTTTTTGAGTTGCCAGACTGTTTAAAGCTACTTAAAATAAGCTGGTTGTTATAATGCTCCAAAAACTAGGCAAACAAAAGCTAAATAGCATGAATAGCAAAACTTCTAAAAGTAAGTAAATATCCCAATGGTCCAAAATGCATGTACTAAAAGTTGTCCAATATCGTATGTGTCAAAAATACAGGTTTTCAAGTTTTAGCCCACCATGTACTAAATATACGTTAAATACAATAAGGTAAATGTCTACACTTACTTATAAAACGATTACCCATTACCACCACCATTTCTACGCAACCACCTACAATACGATTTAGCATACAAGTTGGAGAGCTCCTCGTTTTCGTTATGTAAGTTGAGCACGATAAGGTTAGTGTCCACACTCACAAATACTACGATTACCCATTACCACCACCACTTCTACCCACCTACTATAATACGATTTAGCATACAAGTTGGAGAGTTCCTCGTTTTCGTTATGTAAATTGAGTACGATAAGGTTAATGTCTACACTTACTTAAAATACGATTACCTAATACCACCACCTACATTACGATTTAACACACAAGCTGGAAAGCTTCCTGTTTTCAAACCAATTTTATTTAAACTTTTGAATGCCCGTCGGAAGTGTCGTACAATGGTGCTGATACATTTGCAATAGAAATATCGTATCATCCAGAGTCATTTCAGCTTTAGACAAGGTCTTGATGCGATGTTTTACTTTCTTCAAAATTTCACATTCGGGCGGCGTAAATGTCTCAACAATCTACAATAAAAAGCAATTAATGAACACACATAAACACATTTTTATAAGTAAAACGTAATACCTCAGCTATATATTCGTCCGATTCCCCGCGTTCCTTCATGGTCTCAACTATGCTGTCCAGTCTTTGAGACTTCTCAATCAATCCTTTATGCTCGTTTTTCTCATAGTTGGACCGTCTTATTGTATTGTACAGGGACTTGAAGCAATTGTCCAGCAACATGCGTACTGTCTACAATGGAAATCGGAAGATTATTAAAAGCAATATTGCACTTGAGGCACCATTTTTTCTTACATCCTTTTCTTTGATTTGGAAAAGATAAAAAGCCTTGGCCGGCCCACTGCCTCCCCCGCCAGGTTTTTTGATAACTTTAACATGTATGAATTGTTCCTGGAACAGATTATAGGCAAGGGATTTGGCCTCCTTTGCGGGTATCATAGCCTCCTTTTGCAAATCCTCCTGTTCGATGTACTTCTTAAAACGTATCACGCGAAATATACGCGCCGCTTTCGAGCCAAAGCGTTCAGTTATAACGGACTCCACACAGGCAAGAGCCAGCGATTCGAATGCTTTCTCCATGTCCACCAAATACTGCCCACCGCCCATATCGCCCACTTTGCGAAGAAAACCAAGTGAATCGTCAGCTGTAAAGAGTTTTTTACTTTTAATAAAAATATGTGTATAACTATTTGAGGTTTGTTTACTTATCAGGCATATATATTGATCCAAGAATTTCATCAACTCCAAATTATTGGATTTGCGCTCGATTGCCTGCTTTATCTCCACGAATGTAATTTGATTGGAAGCTTTCTATAAAAGAATGAATATATCATGTTTAGAGCCTCTTTGGACAACGAACACATACCCGCTGCCACGGATCTGTGGTGTTATATATTAGGTTCAGAATGAAACTAAAGCATTCGGCGGCATTTTCGCCCAGCTTCCGCTCCATGGCGAGTCTCATGATGTCATCACGGAACTCCTGATGAAAACGATCATAGTTTAGGCTCCAGACGATGGCCCCATCCAATGCCTTTGACAGTGTCGCTTCACCTTTGCGTATCTGGGCCAACAGATGCAGATCAATGTTGGGTGGCACGAAGAAATCGCATTCGTTTGTCTGAAACTTGGGTACAGCATCTTCCGACTCGTCGCCAGTCATTAGCTCCGGTATTTTGATGATATAATGATCGGCTATCATTTTTATAAATGTGTCCCTGTAGGTTTCGGCACTCTCCGCTTTGTTTTCACCATCAGACAAACATTTGAGCAGCAAACCGGTTGCCGTTTCCGATCCCGCATTCAGCAGCTCCTCCGCTATAGAAGCGCCAACATTGCCGTACTTGGTCTGGACGAGGTGTATGTAGCTAAAATATATACAAATGGTTATATCTGCCACAATAAATGTATTTTACAGTATATGTAGCTCCAGCTCACCGGGAGTATCGCAGCAGGCATATCACATCTTCCCGCCTGAGCGAATATTCGGGCAGAAATGGATTGTTCTTGGATGGCTCAAAATTGACCAGTCGAAATTTGATGAGCACGGCCAGAGCGAGCACCACTTCCTTTCGCGAGAAATGTGTGCTGCTCACAATTTGTGACAGTGTGCGCGTGGTGGCTGAGAACAGGCAATCCGCCACGGACTGCACCACTTTGCCAAAGCATTGCTCCAGAATGGATGAGCACAAGTGCGCGTAATCAGCAGACATATCAAGTCTACCGAACAATCACAATATACTTTTAACCAGCCAAAATAATAAACAACAAACCCACCGGCCACATAGAGCGCGAGATACCATGCGATGTATCGATATATCGATAGTCATATCTGTGAGCTATTTCAGTGTTATAAGCACTGACAAAATACATTTCTACTACATATGGTACAATGTACAATTTTTGCATATAAAAGTACCTCTTGGTGTGGATTTTTTAGTATTAAATTCTATAAAATCAAAAGAAGTTACAATTTTGGTTCTCTATAATCTTTTAAGAAAATACGCAATTCAAAATACGAAAGCTTTGACATATTCCAAAGTTAAAAATATAACCAATTTTTACTTTGTACCATTGAATAAATAAAGTACCACTTTTCGTACCACATGTTGCAAAAGTCGTTGTATCAACAAAAGTATCGATACTAGCAAGAAAAACATTGCGCAGCAAAATATTTATTCTATAAATATTCGGCTAGTGGGGCTTTTGTGCCAAATAATTCGACTGCCTGATATATTGTCCATGCAGCGGAAAACCACTTTAAAGTCCATGGGTAGAATAACGTGTGGCCGTTATCAACAATACGCACGCCCATTTATTATAGTGTCTAACGCTTTTGATTTTTACACGGATATATATATAAAGCTGTATCGAACGAGTTACTAGAAAACCAAATTGTAATTACAGGTTAGAGCTTGCGTTAGATAAGATAAGCGCCCATAACTCTTGCACATTTCACCAGATATTTCGCCCCTATTGGACAACTCAATGTCGGATAGCGGCTTGGGTATGGCCGAGCCGGACACCTCATCCGATTATCAAAGCCGTGCGCTCGATGAATTCCGCGTGAACTGGCAGCGCGAGCTACAAGGTCAACACGAATCCTCGCGTATGCCGGCCGAAGCGGAAGAGCAGCCGGCAGCATTTGAAGACATTGATGCAGAGGCCAAGGCTCAGAGCTTATATCGCACTGCCGTTGAGCTGGAGCAGCGGGGCAAAGTGTACGATGCTCTGGCCTACTACCGCAAGGCCACCCAAATTGTACCTGATATTGAGTTTAAGTTTTATGAGCAGCAAAATTTGAAAAACGATGTCAACAAAACGTACCACAATCTGCTCAGCAATTTTAGCAAGAATCTCGATCTGCACGAGACGGAGGCTAAAGAGGATGTCGTACCAATTGATGGCTTGTACGAGAAGTTCCAGCGCGATCTTTGCTGCGAGGAAATCTACGGTGGCAAAATCTTAATAAACAGTCGCGATACGAATGTTCTGACGACAGGAAGCAACTTACATATATCCGATCTACCAGCCGAGATTCTACTTCATATACTGCGCTGGGTGGTGTCCTCGCAGCTGGATATGCGCTCCTTGGAACAGTTCTCGGCCGTATGCAAAGGCTTCTATGTGTATGGACGTGACGAGGAGCTGTGGCGTTTGGCTTGCGTGAAGTGAGTAACAAGGTTCTTCATCGTCATATCAAAAGTTAAATAATTTATCTGTCTGCCAGAGTGTGGGGTAACAATGTTGGCAGCTTGGATGCCAAGGATGGTGGTGCATGCTACGAGACCTGGCGCGACATGTTCATACGTCGTGAGCGTGTGCTCTTCAATGGCTGCTACATAAGCAAAACAACCTACTTGCGCATGGGTGAAAATAGTTTCCAGGATCAGTTTTATAGGCCACTACAGCTAGTTGAATATTATCGTTATATACGCTTTCTGCCCGATGGCAAGGTGCTGATGATGACCAATGCCGATGAGCCTGCGCAGGGCGTTAATAAACTGAAGCAAATATATCATACACGTCCTGATGTACTGCGCGGTCGTTATCGACTATTTGGAAGCACTGTCACCCTGGTGCTGCAGAAAACACAGCAACCGAGAGCCACAGCACAGCGACATCGCCGTGGCAGCCTTTTGCCCGGAGAAGAGGAAGGAAACAACACGCAATATGTGATAGAGCTGCGTATCATGAACTCACCCAAGCGACGATTTGCCCAATTGGTGTGGTCCAATTACACCTTGGTGCAGCAGCGTAACAAGGTGGAGACGAGTTCTGAGTTCGAGTTAACTGCTGCCAAGTATCCGCCGCTGTGGTTCTCCGCCGTTAAGAGCTATCATCTGGATGCAGATGCGCCGCTGACCTAAAGTTCTCTTTGACTTGCGACCATGTTAATAAAACAAATTGCATAGCGTTTCTCTAATTAAAAGTTTTTAGTGTGAATGGAGATAACGAGTCGTTAGCAACTATGCGATTATTCGGCATTTGCTGTCTAAAAGCGTACAACGTTCTTAACAACTAGAGCATAAAATCATCCTAGGATAAGTGAAGAAGCTTAGCTTTTCATTATCTAAGCTAATGCAATTTGCAATTGAAATAAATTGTTATCGTTTTTCGGACTGGCTGCGTAATTGATCTATGTTTCGGACTGCACCACTACGTGCTCATAGCGCATCTGATCGGGCGTATCCCAGCAGCTCTTGAGGCAAGTAAAAACTAACACATTGCCATATTCGATTGGCGCATTGCAGGAATTCAGTTGGAATCGCAGCTTTGGGATTAGCGTGGGCAGCAGCTGCACCTCACATATGGTTTCACCCTTGCAGTTTTGACACTTTGGCAGCGGCTCGTTAAGCGGTGCCACCAACAGTGGATATGCATCACGGGAATATCTGCAAGAGATTTAGTATATTTAGCACATGCCTACATTAAGCATTCCGTAAATACCTCAATATCTGGCCTGGATTTTGTTGTATAGTTGTGATAAAATTGTGAAACACCACATCACCATGGGCGGGCAGCGCCTTCTCGTACGCCTCCTGCTCTTCGCACGCCTCACTGCCGCCCGCAACTGATGCGGCGTCGGCAATTGGCGAACGCGCTGGATTCTCATCCTGCAGCTTGTACTCTTGATATAAATCGCGTATGTGATCCATTGAAAGTAGACCACCATAGTTCTCATACTCCTCCTGCTTCGCATTGGTCTCCACATCCACAGCAATGTAAATGGGCTTTAGCGTGAGGTCCTTGATCTGGGACAGCGGTCCCAGCGTGGCCGGCAACGAGGTATGCTTCAGCAGCGCAATAAGATCTCGCTCCGGTTTCTTTGGTGTATCAACTAGCACAACATCCGTTTCGGGTCCCTCGATTTCCGCGCATATCAATGCCGTGGCACCTGCGCCGGCTACATCGCCACTCGCTGTAGCCACAATTGCAGCAGCACAATTGGCATTCGGATCCTCGCCAGCTTTCTCTGGTGAGTTCATATCAATTTGACCAAACCCGCAGACCAAATCATTTTCAAGAGAGGTACTCTCATCGTCATCATCATCATCGCCCAACTTGGCTGCATCGTGCGCCCCAGTTCCTGAGATCTCGATGTCATCATCGGCCTTCTCATATTGCAAGGCACTTGGCCTAACATTGCCATTGCGCTCGTTCTGCTCATCATCCGCCGTCTGATCCATGGCCTCGTCCACGATTTCCGGCTCGCCCCAGCCCCAGTCATCAGCTCCGCTACACCAGTTCACCTTTGGCGAGGCACTTGACTTGTTCTTCTTCTTGTTCAGCTTGCTGACCAACTTGGGCGACTGCTCGCTGATGACATCAAACTGATTATCCAAATGCTGAGTGCGCACGCACACCCAACTCTTCTGGTTCTGCGAACAAGCTGGGCTCACGCAGGCAAATACATAGAGATTGCGATGAAATTGCGAACGGTCCAGGGGCGCATACATCTGGACAATCAAAGGACGTACCATGCCGCACAGTGGGCAGGCGGGCACGGTAACTTCATGTCGCGGCCAATTCTATTGGTAAAAAATCAATTTTAATTATGTGCTGTCTCGGCATGTGCTTCACTACGTAAGTATGTATGTGTGCATGCTGCTTATGTCTGTGTGCAAGATGAGCGACATTTGCATAGCTGTGACAACCTACAGGGATTGCTAAGTGAGCATCCACAGAATAGTTATGGATTCAACTAAATCGGTCAAAATGAATGTGCGGTGTCAAAGATGTCGCATAACATAAATATAGCTCTATATTCATACGTAAATATAGGTCCTTTATCAAATAAGATATTCACTCTCACTTATATTTCTTAGAATCCTGTGAAAGGAACTACAAAATTGCTCAGCGCTTGTACTTACGGGTTCTCCACCTATTTTATTTGTGCAGCTATTGAGTAATGCAGCCTGCTTGGCCGTAATTTCTTCATCATCGTAGCCTAAATACACCGTTGATTTATTCTTTGCCATTTTTTCATGTTTTAAATCGTTTTCAGCTGGACACAAAAAAAGGTTACCCCTCGCAGCGACCTTACTTGTCCAACACACCGTTGGCTCCTATCGATATAGCGATGGTAGCAATTCATCGATAAGTCGTCGCACACTGGCATCGATATATAAAACGGTAAAAATTGCGTTTAAACTGAACTTTGGCGACCGTTTTGAAATAATCATAAATTCCTTTTTTTTAATTAAGTTATTTTGTTATTTTAAAAATTATTGTTTGATTTAATAGCCGAAATTATTTGTAACAAAGCAACAGTTGTTTGGACATGACACTTGGCCAACTAAAGCTTTCACTGTTACTTATACACACACAAAGGATGTGGGGGAAAGCTTTCGAATCCTTTCACGTATATTTGCTACCGTGATTGCTATACGTGAGAAAATATTACAAATGCTCGAAGAGCCAGTGTAAAATTATTAGAAAATTTACTACAGTCGGTGCCGCACGTCTCGTTGACGCGGACAAAAATGTTTATATTAAACGAAACACTTTATTTTAATAGTAAAAGTCCGATTTGAAGTTGTAAAAAATTGTTATTAATAGTGTACCTAAATTGTTTTAAAAACGTAGCATTTCGAAAACTAATTAAAGTAATTCATTGAATTTGAGCCTTTAATTTCGGTTGCTGTCATATAGAAATTGTCGAGCAAAACAGTCATTGTCCTGTGAAAAATCGATTAAATTTTTACCGTGGTACACTCTGTGCTGTCATTTCATGAGCTTTTTTAAATTAGTTCAATAGAAATCAAACGCAATTTTTGTATAAGCTACACATATATGATTAAGTATTTTAGAAATTAATTATAAGGAAGCTTTAAATTTAAACACGATCCCACGCATGAACCAACATGATTGTTGCATCTGGTGTGGATAGCACTGCTTCATTGGGTAAGTCAATGTGTCAATGTCAATTTTCATTTGTTATTTACTGGGTGACCGAGTGGTATGGTGGGGTAGGTCTCCGATATGCGCACGTCGGTTTCCATTTGTTGCCTTTTCATGTGCTGATGAAGGTGTATTTCTTTTACTGGGTTTTTGTTTTTTTTTTTTTAAATAATAGTTTGTCTATTGTTGAAGGTACTGTAGAGGTCACAACTCTCCTGGGTGCATTTTTTGGCGTATTAGTGCTGCTGCTCCTGCTGTTCCTCTACATAAGTCGCAGATGCTGCTTTCATCATCGGCATGGCATGAACTGCTGTGACGAGCGACACTTGGCGGCCAAGTGTGTGCAGAAGATTAGTAAGTTCTTTAATAGAGGAGCACCATAGGATTCATTAAATTTCAAAACAATTGCCTATTCAGCACGCAAACGTCGCTATGAGAACACCAGCTCCGACTCTGAGGAGGATATGCTGCGACGCCTGCGCTGGCATCAGCAGAATAATAACCTTCTACCAAATGGCAAATTTGTCGGCTATGGCATGGGCATTGACCAAAGGAATCCACTGACAGGTCACAATTTCAATTATCATCAAGCTGACCTGCAAAGGGTCACAGTGACACGTGACCCTTTGGCAATTGCCGAACGGGGCAAGGTCGGCATTCCTTCATCGCATAGCGAGTGCAGCTCCAATGATTCCATCGAAGCCTCTGTTGACAGTCACACTGGCATTTTGACAGCCGAAAGCAGAGGTACAAATAAGTGATTCTAATTCAAGTGGATGCACATACAATATATGCATTATATATATATCCCATTCACAGCTGTTCCGGTAGCATCAATGCGAAATTCCTATGCCAAGTCACAGAAATATCAGCACAAAGTCGACGTGCTGCCACCGAGGCCCGAGAAGGAGAGGGATAGCGTGGTGGTGGTGCCAATTGCTAGCTTAACTAACAACAACAATAACATCACTGCAAACAATAACTACAATCAGAACTGCAGCAACAGCAACAGCAACAACAACAACAACAACACAACCAACAACAGCAACAACAACAACGATGATGTAAGTTTCATAGTATTGAAATGCCGAAGATTCAATACCCTTGCAGAGATATAGTCGTCACATAATAGACTTTTCATACCCGATTTTCCCCTATTTGGTTTGGCTCAGATTTCTTGAAGAGACAAATGTTTTTCATACGAATGCTTGGATTGCGATCCGTAGCGGTCGACTCCTAGCTTTAACATACACTAGACACTCAGACGGACAAAGCTATATCAACAGAGCTGGTCGTCCTGATCAATAATATATATACCTTACAGGTTCGGAGATTTATCCTTGAATTGGTTACACATTTTATGCCAAGTTGATAATATCCTCTTTGAGGGTATAACAATGATGTGTCAGAACATATTTGTTAATTGTATAAAATTCTTTTTAAGGAACCTCTTTTCGATACCAGCGACTTGCGTTCTATTAAGTCCGATGATATCCTGGTCAGCGATCCAAAGAGCACAGCTCCGCGTGGACCCATTGAACTGGAGATGTCCTTGCTGTACGATGCACCCATGCGTAAAATGACGGTGCACGTGATGCAGGCAAGATGCTTGCCACCACTGGGTAATGGCCAGCAGACGCACACCCAGGTGGGTAATTAATTCGCCTGAGAATCAAGCCCAAATATCTAGTGTTTTATTTGTTTTTTTAGGTGCGCCTTCTGATGCTGCCCAACAAAAAGCAAAAGCACAAGACTAAGATACGCAGTGGCGAGAATCCACAGTATATGGAAAGTTTTCTGCTGCATCGTGTAAATCCCGAGGATGTCAACAACATGGGCCTGCGGGTGCGTCTGTATGGATGTGAGCGGCTGCGTAAGGAGCGCCTCATAGGCGAGGCCTATGTAAGTTTTGCTACTGTCGATTTCGAGCTAGAGACTAATCTGTGGCTGCCGCTGGAGCCACGCAACACAACATCGCTTTTGGGATCAACCAGCGACCTGTTGAGCTTGGCCAGATCGGACAGCGCTGGCTCCACATCCTCCATGCAGCATGGAGGTGTCTCGGAGCTGCTTTTGGGTCTTAGCTACAACGGTGTCACGGGTCGACTCAGTGTGGAGATTATCAAGGGTAGCCAGTTTCGCAGCCTAATGCTAAACAAGGCGCCGGACACGTATGTCAAGCTGTGCATGGTTAGCAGCATTGGTCAGGAGATTTCACGCGCCAAAACGTCAATACGAAGGGGCCCCAATCCGCTATTCAAGGAGACCTTTGCGTTTCAAGTGGCGCTGTTCCAGCTGAACGATGTGACGCTCATGATCTCGGTGTATGCCAAAAGGCACATGAAGAAGAACGAGATGGTCGGTTGGTTTAGCTTGGGCCTAAACTCATCTGGACCGGAGGAGTGTGCGCATTGGGCCGATGTCTGCGAAATGCCCAAGGGAGAGATGCTGGCGCGTTGGCATGTACTGGTGGATTCCTGATTCGAGCAGTTGGGACAGTCCTCAGGACGCAGCAGTAAGGCGCTCAAGAAACTGGGCTTTGCTGCGTTCAAGGACAAGTCCAAGGATAAAGCGCGCAAGGAGATGGATAAGGTTCAATTCCCTGCAGACAATGCGGTTGCAGTCGACATTGAGCCCGGCTTGGAGCTTGATTTTGTCTAAAATTTGGTCAGTTCGAGTAACCGGTGGTTGGTTACCTTAAACATTTTGATTGGGCTTTTTTTAAGTGGAGCATATTTTGAACGTTAACATTGGTAACATTGTGTTCCCCCAAAAACTACATATTGTAATTTTTGGAAGATCTGGCTAGCAGCCAGATGTTAGTCCACGAGGGCTAAACAAAATTTTTGTAATTTGGAAACAAATCAAATTTGTCGCACACTTCTTATAAAATGTGTGAAGATAACAAAAAGTAGCAACACAAACATAACGAAACAAAACAATTAATTAGAATACTAAAATTTTGTACGCAACTGCATATGCATAACTTATTACTAAAAATTTAAACTTTATAATTGTTTGTGATAATCAATATGATATGAAAAAGACAAAATAACAGCGACATGTATTCGCATGTCAATTTTTTGTAATTACTATTTCTCTGCAACTTAACAAAATACATATGTATATCTAACCGCAAAGGTTTTGATGGTCCCACAGGACTAGCACTTTTTTTATTACAATTATTAAGAAATCCCAAAGAAAAGCAAAACGAATTATAATATATACACCTGCATACATACATACGTACATACTAGCAATGTTACACATGTGTGTTAGACAAAACATTTGGATGTGTGACAACGACAAGGAATATGTAGCTTTTAACATCTGGATTGGTTAGTGAAAGAAAATCAACAGTGCAAACCAAATTGAAATGAATACAGCTATATAACTAATGTTTCGTCGTGTTACACATTTCACAGTGTTCCGGCTAAAGATCTGCAAATAAATAGCAAAACAGCCACAATTGTAGCCAATGCATACCACATTACAAATGCAAAAAAAAAAAAAAAAACAAAACAAAAAAACGAAATTCTTGAGATTTTTAACAAGAAAATCATTGCGTATTGTTCCAGTTTTTATATGGATATATTAAATACCAGTACCTTAGGATTCAAATTAAATACGCACAAAAATCTATTGTACATCCGAGTGAATGTTACGAGGCAGATCAAGTTTATAAATATAATTGGAAAATCCAGCACCATTTAATCATATTTAATGCAGGTTGCTTGGAAAATATATATGAAAAAAAATCTAAACAAAATATTTATAAAAACAACATTAAATGTTGAAAATAGCAAAGAACTAATTCTATGTACTAATAACCAAAGAGTTAAGTGAGGCATATTTACTATCGGGCTGCTCGGAAGGCATTTACCTTGATTACATGGGTCGGGCTCGAACCATGTAATTACAGATAGAAAATTGAAAGCTTTAATAAATGTCGGTACTAAATTGATTTTTTAATTGTCAAAGCAAGTATTAAACTATGTACAACAAATGCTCATATGCAAGAACCTAAAAACCTTAAAAGATAGTTTAAATATTTTATTACATATATTTGTATCTTTTTAAAAATCTCTATGTTTTCGATGTCCAATATTTTATAATCACAAATTCAATATGAATATGTGCTCGTTGTTACTGAACTTTGCGATATTAAAAGTTAATCGAAATAATACATAGATAAGTTTGGAGGGCTAAGTACAGTTGAGGAAGAACCAATGAAGTTGGTACACATAAAGAATATTTAAATCTTGTCAAGTCATTTTTATAAAAACATATTTATTATACAAGCTTCTATGTGTGCATCTAACTTTAAACAATTATTATGATACATCAGTGGAAAGTCATGCAAATAAATTGATGTTTATTTGTAAAGTACTTCAGCCTCTTTGTAGAAACTCCCTCCATAAAACAATGAATGAAGTGATTGGATTTTCCTGGAATAGATTACAAATTTCTATTTTTCAATTTGAAGCAATTAAATTGTCATTGTTGATTATTAAAAAATAATTTTAATATTACATAATTGTGACTTAAAATAAAATGATAACATAACAACAGCTACTTGGGGCTTATGGCTCCATATTACTTTAACAATGTCCATCTACTACTTTCTGCGTTTTCGCCGCGTCTTTTTAGAGTTTGCTGTACAATTATCATCATCGTCGCTGTCTGTGTAACACTCCTGAGAGTCTTTAACGCTTGACGCTGCTTGTGGCTGTGAATGGTGCTGTGCATCCCACTCCTTACGCAGTTCGCTCAGCATGCCAGGTGTTAGTAGTCCCTGAGCTAACAGTCTTTCCGTTAGGCGCCCACGGGATGAGCTCGGCAAGCGCGGCTCCTTGATTTGTGTAACACGACGCATAGTGTAGTTTGGTATTTCGCCATCCTGTCCTGCCTCTGTGTTTTTCAACAGCCGAGTTATTTGAAAGACCCCCTGCTGTATGATCTCATCCAGTTCTTTCTGAGCTTCGCGCACGTTTGCCGCCTCGGGAAACAGATCCACAAATCGATAGCTATAAGGAAATGTAAATTATTAGACAAGATCTTAAAAACAGACGAATCTTCCCCTTACCTTAGCCACAGATATAAGTCCATAACATCGAACACGGATTCCAGATGGACCAGATCCAGTATAGTCTTGGGCAGCTTAAAGGGCCAGCCACAGTTTCTTTTGATAAAATCAAATGTAATCGGTTCGTTGCGGCTATATTGCCGAGCTATCTTCAGAAACATTGAACACACAAAAGGCATCTTACGGTTGATGGGCGCACAACAGAATACATAGCGTGCGCGCAATGGCAGAGGAACATGCTGTATCATCTCGGCAAGAAATTTGAAGTCCTCAATATTGCACATAAAATATAAGGAATCATCTACAGTGCAGAGATTCACAAAAATATCCATTAAATTGCTTAGCGTTGAGTTCGGCAGGTGGTAAGCGTAAAGCTCTATTTGATCAGCGGTGGGATGAAGGCCTGCCTGCTTTAAAGGCTCCGGCGTTTGATTAAGTATACGTTGAAGGGTTTGCAGATCTTCAGCCTTAAAGGCTGTTACATAGCCGTGCTCCCATTGAGTCCGATAGCGACCAGCACGTCCGGCTATTTGGAGAGCTGAAGACACAGAAATTGTGTCGATTTCACGTTCGCCTCGCTCATTCATTGTCGGTTTGACCAAAGAGTAGAATATAATGCGACGAATGCTCCTGTAAGTGTATACTTTAATAAAACAGTAAAAAGTTTATCAAATCCAACAAACTTACAGATTTAAGCCCATGCCAATAGCATCAGTGGCCACCATTACTTTACAACTATTCTCTGGATCATTAAACTTAGCAGCCTGAGCAAGTTTCGTGCCCGGTGGCAATCCACCATAGATAACAGCGACTTCTTTGCCTCTATAAATTCAATTCATATATTACGCAAATGGATAAGTAAAAAATTTTCTGCACATTTACCGCGCTTCAATTTCTCTCGAAACCGTATAGATATCATGTTTACTGAAGCAAACAATACAATCTCCAGGCATAACATTGTCCAAAGAACCTAGCGCTGATCTTTCCACAGTTAGCTCCGTGAGGCGATCATAGCGACGCACCTCTACCGTTTCACCTGTAGTTTCGCAAATTTTTTCTAGCAACTCCAGAGCGCCCGCCTCACCACAGACATGTACCTCATCAGCAATCAGTCCTAGAAATGCTCGTGTCCAAGCCCAGCCACGCTGTGGGTCACGTATCTGTTGTATCTCATCGATAACCGCCACCTCATCTATTTATATATCGAATGTTAGCTAGCTTTAAGGCATTAAAGTCTTCCACTTACAAGGTGTATTCACGGAGGTCATTTCAACGGTGCATGCCACATGGTTTGCTGGTGAGTTCTCGCTGATGCCAAATTTACGTTCTTCACCAGTGACAAGATCACAGGGTGTGCCACGCTCATTGGCCTTGTTATATACCTCCGTGGCGAGCAGCTTAAGTGGTCCACAATAGACACCCGTTTTGGCACCCAAATATCTCTCCATGGCATGATATGTCTTGCCAGAGTTTGTGGGTCCAGCATGGAAGACGATCTTACGTGTAATGGCACGGGCATTGCTATACCAATTGGCCGGCTGACGCAAATCTGATATCTTTTTCAAATCGTCCATACAGTCTAGATGAGGAAAAACAGTCTTGGCATGACGCAAGAAGTAGGGAAATATGTCGTCTATGTGGCCGGCACCATGCATTATGTCGCTGAAAATAATATGCACATCAGCCGGCAGATTTTCAGCCTCAATGCAGAAACGACGAAAAGAGCCAAAGGCCTGTTGCTGTAGGTAGGCTGAAGGCGGGGGCATTAGACAAAATGAGAAAATTGGATACTACCGGAAACAACTTACAATCCAACCCATTTTCACTACACAGGGCTTTGATTTCACGACGTTGTGCGAATTTGTTTAGAATCTTCAACAGCTCAGACTTTTCAAGCTTGCCAACTAGCTCGGATCCCACATCCTCGTCATCGATATTGGCCTGGACCTGGACCGGCTTAAACAGCGCCGAAACATTCGTTTCATGTTTTTTATTACGCGAGTAGTGAATTGCAGCACGATGGACGCAACGTTCTTCGGTGGCAGAACCAAAGCCGATTCTCAAGCGCACTGCGCAGAGCAGACGCCTGCCAGTTGATATTGCATAGTGCCTAGGGTTTTGCATCGAGCGCGTACCGTCTGGATTTTAATTGAAGAAATTCAAATAATAAACTTCTCGAGCGACCGACCGCTCCACGTTGTGTAAAGAACAGCTGTGACATAATGTACGCTGTACGCTGTACGCTGTTCACAACTCGCGGTTTTTTATGTTTTGTTTTGTTGTACAAAATACCACCTTTAAAAATACCACAAAACAAAACAGTATTTTTTGACATAAATCTATCGATATCGAAATACCTTTGTTTATTTATGCCGCCATTCGGCATTCTTTTTACCACTTTTATTTAAATTTAAGCTACATACCCAATTATCGGCAAATCGTTGATCGCGAAATATATTATCGACTTTGACAGAAAATTTTTTAACACATTGGTCGGGTGATTTATACGAAAAAAGATGGCGTTAACTTGACAAGCAGAAGTAAGAAATTAATCCTATATCACATTGAACAAATTACCATTGACTTTATTGTCAACCTGAATTGAATTGGGATTGCATTAGTTTCTCATAACATCGCAATACGTGTTAGTGATTGATTGTTCCGGTTAAAATTGTGTTATTTTTTAATTTTTAATTGTGCATTTTTATTTCTGAACATTAAAAATCAATTGAAAAATATACTGAATTCCATAGCGGTTCTTTCGCGCGTGGTAAAAAAAAAGAGACCGTCGATACAAACCGATATCGATATAATACAATTTCATCGGGCCAGAAACGTGGTTTGTTGGAAGCAGCCGGAGAAGGTAGACGTTGCTCTGTAACTTGTGTAAATTTGTGAAAGAAAAATAATTGTTAAAAAAAAAGAAAAGCTAAAAAAGAACAGTTTAAGTACACAATTTATAAACGAAAAACGATGGAAAATCAAAGCAACGAAGCTCCCGTTGCCGCTGCCGCCGCCGCGGAGGTATCATCGACAAGTAAGTTTTCGGGGTGAGGGAAAGAATTCTCTGTTGGCGAGCATATCATTCCCATCTACATATAAGTATATAGATGTGTGTGTATTTAAGTACTTATTTGCCGGGCTGAATATTTATTTCAATATTGTGATTTTCGTCTCTAAACATTAAAAATGGATCAAGGGCAAAGGCGCAGCGCTCCTGCATATTCGTACAGCCATTTTTGTTATAGCAATGACATAAAGTTGTCAAATTGCCGCCATATTTCTTTCATATTTTTTTTTCCTGATTGATTCTAGCGGTAAATGAGAGTTGACACACTGTCTGCCATTTCGCTATTAGAAACTGTAAAACGTAAAGCAAAACGAGCAAAAAATCTAAAAGAAGTACAGCAAAAAGAACAACAAATTACAAATGTGTATGCATGTGTGTGCGTAGTGGGTATGTACATGCATACATATATATGTACATATATGAGCACTTATTTTGTTGCTCGACAATTCGTTTTTGTGTTTTCTCCTTATAATTACGTCATCGGTGCGCGCAATTTTATGCTCAAAATGCTACAAGTTCTGCAATTACTAAGTTGAACTCCCAAATAGTACGCAGTGAATCATTTTGGTTGCTCTTGGCCCATATGAATGCTTTTTTTTATTTTTTTTTATTCTGTGCTCTCGCGTTAATGTCAGTCGAACTAAAAGTGTATGTAGTGTATGTATGTATGTTCATAAACCCCTTGCTCTTCCTGCAAGCATCAACAAAACTATACTTTTGCATATACATACATATGTACATACATATTAATTGAAAAATTCGCGCGTCTTGATGCGCTCATCGCTGAGAAATGCTATTTGAGTGTGTGTGTGTGTGTGTTTAGGACTGAGCGCGCGCTTGTTTGCATGTGTGAGCTGTCCCAGCGTTGCCAACTTATTGGTCATACGTCAATATCGATATTTTTAATGTTTTGCCTATTAGATGTTTGAACACGCACACACAAAGTGTTTGCTTTGCTCTGCTCTGAATTTTTAATTACTGTCTTAATTTTAATATGTGTAAGTATGTATGCTGCATGCATATAGTAACTCGGACAGGTGGCAACTCTTTTTTTTTTCTTTTTTTTTTTCAGTTATTTGGTGGCGATTCCAAATGTTATTTAAAGACGTTTGTTTAGTTAAATTGTCGTCTTTGATTATAATTCCGTTTGTGTGTGGCTAGTTAGTCGACGTTAAATATCTTTGCTGGGCGTGAAAACCGGTTTATCAGTTATACATAGAAATATTTTGTCCGACATGAACCTGGCGTGATAACATGCATGCGTTAATCACGGGTCAGCGATAAGAAAACAACTGCTGACAAATCAAAATGATTTTGTTGCCGGTAATGCGAGATCTTGCACTCACTCTCCTCTCTCCATGTAACTGTCACTCGCTTAGCCGCCGCTCAGTGTTTCTCTCTCTCTCTCTCTCTCTCTCTCTCTCTCTCTCTCTCTCTCTCTCTCTCTCTCTCTCTCTCTCTCTCTCTCTCTCTCTCTCTTGTCGCCACAATTTCTAATCTACCGCGGCAGCCGCATTTGTTTGTGTTTATTTTTAGATCCCCCCATACACCATCCATGAACAACAAAAGCAACATGCTTAGGCACACAATTAATGCATATATAAATTTAGAATTTTCGATTCAATAAAACCTGTGAATTGACCACCTTTGCATATTAGAAGTTTGGAAGAATTTTTTTACTCTTCCTCTAGTTTCGTATATACCGAACTCTCGTAACTCTATTTAATTTTTTTTTTTCGTCCCAATCTTTTTCAAAAAATGTGGCATCCGTCAGGTGAACGTTGTTTTGGAGCTGACAAGTCTTTTAACGGAAAATCGTATTTATTGCAAAACATTGTTTTTCTTTTTTGAGCCAAAACAGAATGTATGTTCATTAGAATATATAAACGTTTCGTATGTATGGAAACATGTTTTCTTTTGCAGTTGACCACCTAAGTAAATACGAAATAAATATGGATTATGCATAACATTTTGATTATTGTATAAATAACTAGCAGTATAAAAAGTTAATAACTGGGTGTGTCTTTAACAGCTCAGCCCGCAGAGCCGACAAAGCGCTCGCTGCGCGTTCAAACTTGGAAAAAAATCCAGGAGGGCAAGGTTGGAATCGGCTTCAATGGCATATTCAACCGTATTCCTGCGTTCGTTGATGCCGATAAGGCCGCTGCATTGCTCATTCAGGAGGAGGAGTTCAAGAAAGCACGTAGGTTATGTTCTGCTCATGTGTAAACTTCTTAACAATATATATTTAATGTGCTTTCGTTTTATAGAGCACATCAAAGTGAACATTGATCGCGCCTTGCATGACTTTAAGGAACAGTCAATGCTGGCCAATAAATCTGTATATTTGCCCAGCACACGGGACTCGCCCGCGCTTTGCCTTAAAGTCGATGTGCCGGCCGATGCCACCGATGAGCAAAAGAAAGAAGCATTGCGCGTCCAGGATATACAGAAGTTCCGTTCGGAAATTGGTCTGGACAGCGAGTTGAAGCTTGATTTGGTTGTCATTGGTTCGGTGGTGGTATCACGTGATGGCTATCGCATTGGACGTGGCAACGGTTTTGCCGATTTGGACATTGGCTTGCTCATTGAGCTGGGCGTCATAACGCCGGAAACGGCCATTGTAACAATTGTGCACGATGTGCAGGTCGTTGACACGCTGCCCGTTAACTTGTTCCAAAAATACGATACACCAGTGGACATTATTGTAACACCCACCGAGGTGATACGTGTGGCTAAGCGTTTGCCGCGTCCAAACGGTGTTTTCTGGGAACTTTTGTCCGAGCGTCGCTTGAAGATTTTGCCTGTGCTGCAGCAACTTAAGGAGCAGCTGGAGAAAGCGGGTAAGAAGATAACCCTGAAGGAGGAGGATACCGATGTTGAGCAGCATCAGAACAGTAGACGCCGTCGTGGACCGTTGCGTCGTCGCTTCCAACGAGGAAACCCAGGACGCACCACCTCACAGACTGACAACGAACAACAAGGCGTATGTTTGCAAAATATGTTTATATACTTCAAATATATTTATAATAAACAAATGTAAATTTCTCTTTCGTTAAGGATAATGCGCAGAAGCGCACACCACGCCGCAAGGGTCGTTTCATCAACCGCCGCAGACGCACAAACAAGGTAAGCAACAGCTCGTGAATTCTTTAAGCCCTTGCTAACTATTTTTGTTTGCAGTCTGAGGGCGATCAGTCTGGAGTCGAGGTTGGTGTTAAGAGTGAAGATCGTAAATTTGATGAGGGTGGTGCGGGCGAACGTCGCCCGAAGAAGAAGAATCGCCCGCATCGTGATTTCTGTGTTAAATTGACAAACCTGACACGCGACATTCGCGTGAAGGACCTGAAGTCCGAGCTGCGTAAGCGCGAATGTAATCCATTGTCGATTACATGGAAGGGTACGTAGCCAACTGGCATAACACCATGCTGGATACGTTTAATTATTGAAACATTTTGATTTGCAGGGCATTTTGGAAAGTGTTTCTTGCACTTTGGTAATCGCAACGGCGCTCCAAGCACCCAGGATGATGTTGACAAGGTGCTCAAGTCGCTGAACGATCTCTCGCTAACCATTACCACCGGTGGTGGCGACTCAGCACCAGCTGCTGGAGCCGCAGAAGAGCCGCCAGTTGAGAATGTGAATGCACCAGTGCAAACGAAAACCATTAATGTCAACGTAGAGTTACTTAACTTTGGCGCCAAAAAGAATGCCGGTGGCAATACCAGCGCTGGCGAGGGTGGCAATACTAATGTGAATGGTGAGGGCGGCAATGCCGCTGCCGGTGAAGGAGCCGCTTCACGTATTGAGTCTGTGGACACAACCACAGTATAGTATGACCATGTCGGTAGTTCTGCCACAAAACGGCCAAGGCGGATGTCCGCCGCCAGCGCCACGTGTGGAGTTCAACGAAAAAGAGTAACATTTTGTTTAGACACAACAGAAAACTAACACAAAGAAAACAAACACAAACTGAATTGAGCTCCAACAACACAAAGAACTCACACACAAACACACATACAATCAAACTAAAAAAAAAAAAAAGAAAGAAAAACTCACCCACACAATTTCGCATAATTTTCAGCTTGTAGTTTCTTCTTCTCATTCTCTCTTTCTAACAACATACAAACAAAGCGACAGCAAAATTTCGTTTTTCCAACAGAAAACTCTGACGCTTTTTTTTAAACAATTGCATTTGTTTTTGCTAAAAAGAAAAACAAAAAAAAATTCGTTAAATGAAATGAAAAAACAAAAATAATATTTATGGAATACTCGTTCTACATTTGCAAGTGGATCATCATTTCAAGCTAGGTTACTAACCCTACTTCACTAACTTGTCCTTTCTCAACGACAAGACCGAAAAAATATGTTACATATTTTACGATTTTCTATACATTTTTCTCCCAACCTTTGGACACATGGCCCCAACCAGCAGCTGAATGCGTGCGTCCCCGAAAACAGTTGAGCTGCTATCGCTGGGAGCACGCACAGTTTATGGCTTGGGGATCAGTGTAACAAATGTTGATTATTCGTGAATTCTAAATAACCACAAAAACAAAAAATATATATATACAAAATTTAAAAAAAAAAAAAAGAAAAAAAAACGTGGATTGAAGAAATTGAATTAACAAACTATTAACATGTTGCATTTTTGCTGAACGAAACCAACATAGAAACGAACAATAAAATATTATTATTGTAATTTTGGTTAGTGTTTGCCCCCCACACCACACACACACACATCCACAACCAATACCAATACCCATACAATTATTATATATATTTTAACAAACATGAAGATCAACAAAATGTGTGAAAAACAAAAAATTTATACATACAAACCGTAATTATTTACTCTTTTTTATACAAAGAAAACGCATTAAAGCAAATAAAAACTTATGTGAAACATGAATGAAATATAACTTGAAATAAAAATGGAAAACAAAAAAATCGAATTGGCCAAGCTTATTATTGTAATTAACTCATTCTTTTCGTCAGCTGTGCAATAAAGATTTAACGAATTTGAACTTTTAATGCCAATGCCAATGTATTAGGAATGAAAATTTTTAACGCTTGTCTAGGGGACATTACCATTTATTTTGATTTTCGGCTAACATCTAAAAAATAGGTACATCAATATCGAAATACATTACATCAAATGTACAGTTGGAGCCAGGCGATCGCAATACTTATAAAATACTATATAATATGTACATACAAAGGTGCAAACCGGCGTTGGTGTTAGTTTCGTGTGAATTACAAAGTACTATATAAGGTTTTCTCATTTTTTCTTATATGCGCTTGCTCGAAAAATATTTGTTTAAATCCTTGTAGAAGGTTTTGGTAGCTCAGATATATATATATATATGCATTACTTTTTGTATCTTTTGGATTGACAGCAGGCTTTTTCCTTTTTCTATTCAAGCTATACGAGAGAAACCTTGCGGCATTAAGTAGGACTAGTTTGTGCATTGAAGATCAATTATTGAATTTGGGTCTTTATTCCCGTACATTGCTCGTCGTTTTGCAACAGAATCTGCGCGGCGTGGGCGTCATCTGAGCCGCCTGCGGAGATGGTGTGCGGTCTATAAATTCAATACTATCACTATCCTTGGTTTGTGCGGGTGGAGAGCTTGTGCATCGCGCACAAACATTTAAAGCAGTAGCTGTGGGCGCAACTGTTGTGGCCAAGGACGACGTTGGCTTCTCCTGTATGGGCGCTAGACTGTTGACTATTGAATTGGCCATGGCCAGCTCCAGTTCGCGCTGCCAGTCACTCTCCTTCTTCTCCATGGCCTTGCGCTTGAGCTCCTTGAAGCGATTGTACACAATGAACTCCTTAACGAGCGCCGTTTCGGGATCACTGTCCCGTTGCGCCGAACGCTGTTTGGCCAGGCGCTTCTTCTTTTTGTGCAACGGTCGCGTCTCGACAATCATCTCCTCCAGCTCCAAGCAGGGATCGCAATTAAGATGATCTTCGGGTGGCTTAAATGCGGGCTTTATACTCTTCTCCAGCACCAGCTGGAAATCCGTGGGCCGCAGCAGCGGCGTCTGATGCAGCTCCTGTTGTGAGCTTATCCGTGCGCCAGGATGCACGCAGAGCAGCTAAAGGAGAGATGCAAATAATTAGATATAATTGGTGCCAGTTTTAATTGCCGCCCACCTTTTGCAACAGATCTATAAATTCGTGACTCCAGTAATGCGGATAGTGCACCGAGGTGTTCAGCACGTTCTTAATCTCCACCAGCGGCGTGTGCGAGTGCAGGACAAATGGCCGTGTGTTCGACCTCATCTCGTAGGCCACAACACCCAGGGACCACCAATCCACTGGATAGCTATATCCAGCTGCAAATTAGATTACCAAAGACCGGAAACATTCAATTAAGCATCTTCTTCTTTTTTGTTGTTGTTGCTACAGCAGCAGCTCTAGCTTTAATTTGATTTGTTGTCCCGGAATAGATGTCATACCCTCGTCCGCCCCGTGCATACAATTTGCAACTTACCAACTTCTTCCAGGGCGCACATAAAGACCTCTGGCGCCATATATGGCTTCGTACCAGACATGCTGCAGGCGAGGGAGTCCTTTTGCAAGCGCGTTGCAATATTAAAATCAGTCAAATGAGCGTGTCCTGCAATTAAGCGCACGTAATTGGTTTCCAATTACCCATATACCAATATTGACAGTGTGTGTGAGAGTGTCTGTATGTGTGTGTCTGTTAAGAGTGTGTGTGACATTTTAAGTTAATTGAATTGGATATTTGTAATAGTTTTTCCTTTTCCAATAATATATTGTGTGTGTATTTAATAAATCCTTTTTATGTCCATTACTAATTAATGGAATTTATATGTTACAGACAGAAGTCTATATCCGAACCTCATTTTAAATCTCGAACAGCATTTTTTATCTGCTTTTACTTTTTTACATTTTTTTTTTTTTGTGGAAGTAAATGCTGGCTTATAGACGAGTTCTCTTGATCAGCTCAATTTGACTTGCTTTTCATGATTTGCGTTAAGAGGAACAATTAAATGTACATGTGTACATTTCTTGAACGTAAACATAAGTTTTCTTCAATATTGTGAAATGCATAAATTGGGCATAAATACATACACATGCATATCTATATATATATATGTATATATATATATATATATATATATATATATATATATATATATACCAAAAAAGGTGATACGTTGTACCAAAAAGTGAACTTTTTTGTAGAGGTACATTTTTTAAAAACAAATAATTAAATATTCATAATAATTACTTTAAGTCGTATCAACTTTTGGATAATTTAAAAAAAAGTCCCTTTTAAAAATAATAATTTGTATCGAAAAATAGCTTATATAGTGTGTTAATTATCCTGCTAAGCATTGTGTGGGCCATAGAGCATTAAAAAGTATATATGTATATTTCTTAATAACTAATATAAATACATTATTTTAGGCGTTAATCCTGCTTAAAATGCCGTACGCTGCTTAAACTTATCTCAATATCAATTTACTGCACTTAAATGAAATGCTAAAGCTTTCTCCATAATTAATCTATTGTCTGCCCATAGATAACAATAGCATGAAAATTGCAATAATGTAATTATACAATTTACACTGTCCAAAAAAGTTTAGTACAAACACAGAAATAAGCTATCTATTTGGCAAAGGCATAAACCTATATGTAAATACGATGTAGCTAAATAAATAATATATGTTAAGTAGTTAAGGAGCAGGTGACAGGCGGCAGGAAGCGGACGGCAGGCGGCAGGCGGCAGGCGGCAGGATGTTAAGCCTGACAGGGCGGGCGCATATGAATAATTTGAACCTGCTCTCAAGTATTCACTTGGGCACAAAACTTTTGCTTGATTTTTGCACATGAAATCAATAAATTTTTGAGCACGGACATAGGACAATTTAATGAATTATGGATGCTTTTGGGCCGACTTGGCCAAGAAATTACTTGAAATTGGCTGCCAAACTTCTTGTTGACTGTGTACGTGTGTGTGTGTGTGTGAGTGTGTGAGTGTGTGTGATTGTGTGCTTATTTGCTGAACTCACCTGCATCATCTAATAGAATATTATCGGGCTTAATGTCCCTATGGATCACACGCTGTGTTTGTAGGTACTCCAGGGCACTGCCCAGCTCGCACACTAATAAGGCCACACTCTGCTCGGAGAATTCCACCTGTCAAGCGAGAGTTCGAGAAATACGAAATACATATGTTGGCTAAGTGTCGCAAACCAAAGAGCAACCTACTCGGTTTTGTAAATGGTATCTTAAATCACCGCCCGTCAACAGGTCGCAGACCATGAATAAATCCTCCTCATCTATGAGCGTTAAGCGTTGGGAGCACATACAGAAAAGAACAAGAACAAGAACAAGATAGAAGTGAATGCTCAGACATCAAAAGAAATGCACACAGTTAATTTGCATTTTGATTGCCAATCAGCGGCGGTGGCACTCGCTCTACAGGTAGCTCAACCATTTGCATATGTAAGTGTCTGAGCGAGTGCGAGTTCAGGTGTATTTGCGTACTTACCTTGAAAAGAGAACCATAAATTCACTAGAAATGGATGCTCCAATGAGGATAGCAGCTCCACCTCCTTGATCACACCGCCCAAAGCGCCGCGAGATTCACATACTGAGCGGCTAACATATTTCATGGCATAGAGGATGCCGCTATCCCGTTTCTGTACGATGCACACCTGCAAGGATGCCCAGATTTAGAGCTGACCGAATGGGTAATAGGATGTCTCTTACCTTGCCAAAGCTGCCTTTGCCAATGGCGCGCAGGATTTGAAAATGATCAAAGTTAACTGAAATACATAAAGATATTTAAAATATTATATTATTGTCCTTTATTAAAGCATTTTGTCCTGAAAGCTGCTTTTTTTTAAAGAGCTATGCAAAAAAGTTTGAAGCAGATCGGATGAGCAGCCGGGAGGAATATACCTAGACCCGGGTTAGTACGGGTTGCACTTGTTCTCATAGGGAAACTTCAGTTAAAAATGGAGCTGTCAGTCACTCAATCAGTCAGTCAGTCAATCAGTCAGTCAATTTGTTACTCAGGTCAAAGGCTAGACTTTAGATAGGCGATCGAATGAAACTTAATGCAGGTGTACTTAAAATGGGAAGCTCGTATTTGGTGGGCATACTTTTTATTTTTTTGGAGTCATCACCAGGTCAACTGGGTTTGCTGGGCAACAGACGCCCCAGCAGCATTATCCTCATATTTCTTTAGAATCATAATCCGTCTGAGTTGTAGCTGTTTCTGATGACAGAGGAAAAAGGGAGGCAGGGCATCAATCTGGAGCATCTGTAGCTTGGGAAACCTGTGCCTGACGAGCACCTCAAACTTCTCTTTATCCACATAGTTGAGCCTGAGCACGCGCAGCTCTTTCCAGGTATTGAGCAGCAAAAACTCAAAGTGCTCCAGGCACAGCGGCACCTGAAGCAGATTCAGCTCAATCCGGGTGAGGTGACGGCGCCAGAGGCTGCCCAGCAGCGAATAGCAGCGCTCATCGCACTGCAACATGGCCAGCTGATCGGGCAGTCTGAGATATGCCAATATCTGCTGCAGGCACAGCTCATCCAGATGCTCCATGGCCAACTCCCAATTTCAAAACTCTGTCGCGCTGCGAGCGCCTGTGCTGCAAATACTTTTTTCTTTCTTTGAATTTCTAGCCCAGAGCTACTCAGTTAACAGGAGTTTTGGCTTAAGAATTTATTCCTCACATGGTTCTTAAATGTTTAATTAAAAATCTAATATAGATATATATATACTCTTAGAATACCGGGGTAAGCCGGTGCTCGTTATCCTAATGGATATCTCGTGTGCCAAACTCACCATCATCATCCTGGTGCAGACTTGTGTCGGATCTGGTCGACGAGCTGGCGCCCATTTTGTAGCTACATTAATGTGCCGTCCTCCTGACGGTTTCACTATCTATTTGTTGTTGTTTATGTTTTCGTCCCCGTCTGCTGCTCCTGCTGCTGCTCCTGCTCTGTCTCCCTTTCGACTTGTTTGTGGCAATTTGATTGAATTCAATTGATTCGCTGTCATGTCCTGCCCCGGACTGGAAGTGCCACACGAGCTTAACTATGCCAGCTCCTTGTTGATGTTATTGAGAATGTTGTTATTATTATGGCAGCTCATTGCGGTGCACCTAAAAGACCACAAAAGATGGCAAGAGATCGATGTAGATAAAGCCACATTTGTTTTTTTCTTAATAATAAGCTGTGTTAATAAAAGCGCTTTGCATTTTTAATTAATTTCATGTTCCTTACCAATGGATCTGTTATTATACATTTGTTTCAGATGTAGAAGTAACAAAAGGGTTAATTGAAAAAAAATTAGTTACCAAAAATTCGATAAATTTAGTTTGTAGTTTTTTGGCATGTTTAAAGCACATATATAAATTTATTTTTATTTTATTTTCGTTTACAATTTATCGAAAAATAAATATGAAGTTAATTTAAATTGTCTTTAAAAAATGACAACCATTGTAAGTTTATGTTTTTTATACCCTGAACCCATTAAAAATGGGTATAAGGGTATATTGTATTTGTGCAAAATCCAAATGTATGTAGCAGGCAGAAGGAAGTATCTCCGACCCCATACAGTATATATATTCTTGATCAGCATAAATAGCCGAGTCGATCTAGCCATGTTCGTCTGTCTGTCCGTCCGTCCGTCCGTCCGTCCGTCCGTATGTATGAACGCAAGGATCTCAGAACCTATAAGAGCTAGAGACTTGGAGTTTTAGATGTAGATGCTCCTAGTTCCCGCGCAGATCGAGTTTGTTTTCGATTAATGGGTTCAGGGTATAAAAATTATGATACCAAACAAAACATATTATAAAAGTTTACGTGCGTGCTTTCAAGCTATGGTCGTGTCGTGCGGCGATGGGAAAATCCTGATGAGCGGCCATCTCTAATTTCGAAAAGTTAACGATTTCAAAGATTTCGAATGGGGTCTGCCTAGCCATGTGCTTATGTATTTCGAAAAAGGGCAGCACAAAGTAACCGCAGCAAACGTTTGCTCTTAACGCAAAACATTCGAACATTCGGCAGCTGAGTCAGTTGTCATGCAGACTCATTAGTAGAACATTTTTATTTATACAATATACAACACAAGAAATTGAAATAAACGATTGCGTCTGCTTTGGAATCCGTCTGCATTCGATACGCATCCCGTGGCCATGTGTTGTAAGACCATCGATATAACTGCCAAGACCGGTAGCGGCTCGGCTGTCATCTCCGTGCGCCAGAACGAGCTGATCTGCAATTTGCGTGTGCTTGTTGCGGTGCGATTTGAGCAGGCCATAGACTTTGTGGTTCTGGTATTTGGCGGGCAGGTGCTGCGCGACGAGGGCACCATCGATAGCCTTGGCATCATCTCGGGCGTCACTGTGCATGTGGTCTTCCGTCAGCTGGCGAAGGGTTCGCCTCCTGTGAACGATTGCAGCAATGCTGCCGGCAGCAGCAGCGGCAGCGGCAGCTCTGGCCCGTCGGCTCCATCGAACGCCCGCACTTGGATCTTGAAGAGCGGCGACATCTTCAAGCCGCTGCTCGAGGATCCGGGCACATTGCGCGACATGTTGCAATCGGACACACGCATCAAGACCATGATAGATGATAACGCATCGTTTCGTCACTTTCTCAGCAGCGATCGTAATTTGCGTGAGCTATTCTCGACGGTCTTCAATCCAGCCAAGGTTCAGGAGCTGGGACGCAAACGTGATATGCATATAATGCGCATGGAGTGGGTGCCTGGCGGCTACAGCCTGCTCGGCAAGCTCAACTATTTCATGCGTCAGGCCCACGAGGATAATGTGGCCATGAACTACCAGGAGGCGGAGACATGCCGCTGCAAGCGCAGCGCTGATAATCCACAGCGTGGACGTGAAAATAAGATGCCACTGCCGAATCCCTGGCGTCAAACCAAAACGGAAACGGTTGATGGATTTGCGCTTAACGCGGAGCGCATGGTCGCCGATCTGACGCAGAAATGCGATCACATGATGCAGTCTCTGCAGTTGGGTGACTTTAACAAAACCCTCGAACATGCGCGACAACTGAACGAGCTGGCGGACAATGCGCGCCGTCAGCTGGACATACGCGTCCGAAAGCGTCTGGTGCCAGCAGTCGAACAAGCTGCTCCGCCGGCACCAACCGTCTCCTCGCTAAATCTCTTTGACTTTATGTCCAGCAACGATAGCCGCTGGGAGCAGCGCTTCCGCTCCCAGCTGCTGCAGCTGACCACATTGGGCCACACGGATCGCCAGCGCAACATATGCGCCCTGCTGATGTCCGCCGGTGACATACAGACGGCCGTCAAGCTATTGGAGCAGTGGAATCGCTAGTACATAAATCCCATAATCCCAAAATTGGAATCAATCTACACAATGTTTCAATAGTTCCCCCCTCCCCCCTCTCTATTTCCATTCATATTCCTTTTTTTGTCGCTCAGACGCTCCGGTTTGGTGCATTGGCTCTGTATCCGTCAATCAATAGCAATTGCAATAGCATTCAAAATGATAAATCTATTTTTATCAATTTCTCTTTTTTTTTCTTTTATTTTTTTTTTTTGTACCCACAACCCATTTTAAATGGGTCCAAATAAAGTTGTGCAAATGTGTGTCTGAAAGAAAACTTGTGGGACAATGGGCGAACGGCGAAACGTTCCATGGAAACCATAGGAATATACTTATGTATGGAATGCACAAACGTACTTTAGCAAATCCTTGTTAACCGAGACCTTCGGTTAGAGTATACGCACAAATCCTGGCGCGTCCATTTGCTGTCGCAATTTCATTTATGATTGATTGAAACAATTCTGTCTGGCTGGGCAATGCTTTAGTCATCCTTTTTAGTCATCCATCAATGCGCCTCTGCCGCAAGTGTCCTGACAGTTTCCATCAGCAACGCGTGCCGCAAGTTGCCGCATTCGATCTCTATATACTTTTTCTTCATTCGCTTTTTTTATGGCCGCAAACATGTCAATTTTGTGGCAATAACTTGACAAACTGTCGCACACATATGCGCAGCAGAGTATCTGTATTTGGGATAGTATATTTTTATATTTGAATATCTTAATTAATTTTGTACTTTTGTTGCAAACTTTGCTTTTGAGTTGTTGCATTCCGTGTTGTTGATTAATCCGTGCTCCAATTAACAGCTGCTGCTAATTGTTTACACCTTGCTGAGTTTTCAAATTTAAGCAAATTAATTTGCTCGCCGTTTGCTTATTTCAACTATGCGACAGTTTTCTGCAAATTGCTGGGAAAAAGTTTTGCGATTTCAAGTAATATTATCCTGTCATGGATAGCGCCGGACTTTTGCTGCTAACTGAGCTGTCGAAGATAGTTCAAGTTGAAAGGTCAGCATAAAGTGAAATAAACACAAATGCAGTAGCTCAAAAAGCAGTAAAACACGGTCTTAAATATATGTTTCTCATCTGTTTCAGCTTATGACTTCAGACATTTCCTTTTATAACTAGCTTTTCGTTTAACTAAACCAAACTTAAGATTTAGCAATTTATGCTGTAATGCTATTTAAATACAAATACACAAGCGGGCAGCAACAAAAACAACAAGGCCAAAACGCACACTAACGGTATAACGGGAGGCATCTCGGGGGAGGCGACTTAGGTGACAAAATGGCGCGGAAGGAACGTGTCCGGCGGACATTGCGACGACGACGGCAGCTGCAGAGTTTTTACACTTACACACACACACACACGCAAACACCAACAGTACATATTTACACTGTTTCCAAAGGAAAAAGAAGTATATTGGCTTATACAACAAATTGCAAAAATATCTCTGCACCTTTAAGCCGAATAAATCAATTAATTTATTCTGTTACTGAAGAATTCTTCAAAAAATCAAGAACAATTTTGTTGAAAATTTTGAATAGTTTCAAAAAAATTCTGGATGTGAAATTCGAGGATTATTTCTCATAATTTGTTGATTAGTATTTTAAGATATAACTTTCTAAAGAGTTTTCAAATTTTCAGTATTGTTTTGTAACATTGAACATTTTTTCTGCTACCTATATTTAGAAATTTGTCAGTAGCTATACAAAAATTTCAGATGTGAAATTCTAGGACTATAAATCATAATTTTCAGCAAGAATTTAAAAAAATTGCTTTCAAAATTTTTTTAAATATTTCAGAAGTGATATTCTAAGAATATTTATAGGATATGCTTGCTTTTAGTATTTTTTGTACCTTTAAAAACTTTATTGTTATATTTTATTTGAAATTCTAGAAACATTCTTGTTTGCAAAATTATTTTTCACCTCAGATATCTTTTTGTTACCAATATTTAGAAAGTTATTAAAAGTTGAAAATAATTCAGAAATTAATTTAAACGACCATTTTTCAATACTTTTACCTATAAAAACTTCTTTTGCTACTTTTATTAGGAAAGCTTTTTATAATAAATAAAAAATTCCGAAGTCAAATTTAAAAAATAATATTGTATTAATTAATATTCTTTACATTTTTTAGCATTATTCTATTGAGAGTTATGAAATGTTGAGCAAACAGTTATCCTTGCATAAATATAGAACCTTTAGAACATCTGGAAATCTAGTATCAATTAATTTGTTGTATTTAATATATATAATATATAATATGCTTTGAGCACGCATAATTTGCAAGCGAGCAGTGTAGCGTGATTGGGAAAATACCCGCTAGATATCTCCGACTTGGTTTTTTTTTCAT